GGAAGTTGAATAAAAAGTCTGGAGGTCAATGATATTGATTTATAAGGATATAATTTAATTACTACTAATATACAGGCTGAAGTACATCGTTCATTGACATATCAAGTTGACACCATCTATTTTTACGAAATTATTGTTATTTCATTATGGTATGTGTTAATATGCATTTTTTACAGGTTTACAGGTTATAGTCAGCTCTACTATTATCACGCGTATCACACAATCAGAGATTAAAAGCTTTAGGAAGAATTATGCGCGAAAAAAAAAACAGTTTCTTTTTTCCCTAGAATTCTAAAGGATAAAGAAAACCCGAAAATATTCTTAGTCTATTCATTATTTCTAAAGTTATCTTAAGTTTAGTGAAAATTCTTAATCGTATTATTGAGATATATTATTTTTGCAAAGCGAAATGAAATTCTGAGAATTATTTATCGTTTTGTTTTTGTATTTAATTAAAGCCAAACATTTGAATATTTAACATGATGAGAAATGTTATGACGTATATATCCTTACAATCGAATTACGGTAAAAAAATACAAATGGTAAGACGAAATTACATTCAACTTGTGTTTATTTGTGTAATTCAATTTGGAATAATAAAATAAAATGGGAAATTTTCAAATGGAGTATGTTTTTTTAAAATCTTTTTTATTTATAAAATACGATACATTTTCAATACAAGAGATAAAAAATACTAGTAGCATATAAACAATGAAATATTTCTACTTTGCAATACAGCGCATATAACAATCTTACGCATTTTGATAAATTATGACATTTTACTATTAACATTTCAATAATTTCAGTATATTTTTTAAATATTTTGGCTGCAATAACATCGTATCACAGTTTAATACTACATATATCAAATTGTATTATACTTTCATAAATGCAATCGCTTTAAACCCTTGTCTGATAAGGAACGTTTGTATTCTCAAAAGTGCATCATGTAGTACTCTACTTATGCACGTAACTAAATCATATTTAAACTTTTCCACGCGTAGCTTGTAGATAATCAAAAATACGTAAAAGTTTTTTGCAAAAAATGTCTGTCGATTAGTTGATGCCCTCGAACGGTGTGCGGAGGTTCTGGCTCCACAATCTTCTCTTCAACAGTTTTTTTCCTACTTTTGCTATTTTCTATTCTAATTCTCAAGCACTCATACTTTCTTTTGGTTACAAATTTTCATTTCTATCCACACTGTTTTTCATTCGACATTTTATAGGTTAAAGCAATCAGCTGTGCGAGCGATTGTATAGCATCGTATACCTATATACATGACAAGGACTGCCAAATAACACTCGTGCGCTGTTGCCAAGTTTCTGCTGCAATTTGTGTCATTTATTTATAAATTTTGGGTAAAAAAATAACAATTGAAAGATGGAAATATACAGGGTGTCCTTTTCATGATTCAAAAAAACTTCTATGCAAGTTCCCCATGGAAAAATAATAGGGGTAGTTCATGTAAAGTTTTTTTCTTAGACGCTCTGTTTTCGAGATATAGTGTGTTGAAGTTGTTACGTTCCAAATGGTTTCCCTTAATTATCTAAAAATCGGCTAAAGATAAAAACGTCAAAATTTATACACAAGTAAACATCAACTGTGCGTTAAAGATGATGTGCCAACGGTTTCTTTCTGAAATGCAGTGTCGCCGATAGAGTAATTGAAGGGGTACAATCGAAGAAAAAATATGTTAAAAGTCAAAATTTATTACATTTCTAAACGGTTCTGTAAATTCTAAAGGATACTACAAAAAAAGGTATACTTGTCGAAATTCGGTAGCATGTACCATTTTCGAGAAAAATGAAGTTGCATTTTGTAAACTACTACACTACCTTTACTAAAATAAACAATTGTTGAATAGACTGAATTCTTGATGGACATGAATGCTTAAAAAAAGTGATAAAAACCGAAAAATATTAGGAAACAAACTCGGAGACATACATAACAAAACAGCTGCACAATTAAATAAATGTGCAAACTCGAAATACTACAGGAGATACTGAAATTGTCCCCCATTTCTATGCAACTTCATTTTTCTCGAAAATGGTACCTGCTACCGAATTTCGATAATTACACCTTTTTTTTGTAGTATGCTTTGGAGTTTACAGAATCGTTTAGAAATGTAATAAATTTTGACTTTTAACATACTTTTTCTTCGATTGTACCCCACCAATTACCTTTATCGGCGACACTGCTTTTGAAACATGAACGGGACACCCTGTATAATTATAAGTATTTTAAATTCGATTTTATTCAATATCTACAAACAAATATCTCAATCTACTTACTTTCTAGTCAAAGAAAATTTGTCTTTGCATTAGCAGCAATGATTATTTAACATGATAAGTATAGGGTCCCCCGCGTACTGCTTCAAAAACCCCCCTCCTCCCCGATGAAGCACCCGACCTTCCTTCAAAGTACGCAAATTTTTACCTTTTTTTAATCTAATTTTTTTTATCAAAGAACGATAAGAATGTCTTGTACAGGCTACTTTGAAGCTTTCAAAAAATTGCTTTATTTCTTAAAGGTGGTCAACGATATAAATATTTGACTTTCAGATCCTGAAACCAGAAACTTCAAGTTTCAATTTGTTTGTTTTTTTTTTGTTATTGCTACGTCCATTTTTCGCCAAATTACAGTTATTTGAAAACTGTCGAAGAATTTAGGAATTTTTTGTATCCTCTAATTTTTGTGACTACAGTAGGATCGTATCCGATGCAAAGTAGAGCAAAAAATTGTGGCTTTTTATTCAAAGGAAAATCGTCATCAATTTTAGGACGCGTAAGATGAACCATTTCAAATTTAAAATGAAATTGAATATAAAAATGTACGAAGTGGTCGATTATACGTCAAACACTAACCTTGGTCGTAAATCAGAGACCTCCAAAAAACAAATAAACAGTGGCGCGTACAGAGGTAAAATATAGTACATATGTGGAATTTAAAAAACAAATTGGATTTATAATAAATTACATTTAAAATAAACAGTTTATGAGAATAAAGCGATTTTTGTAGGAACAGCGGTGCTAGACGTGAACTGATCCCTTCATCCCTTTATAATGCACAAAGAAATTATTCAATTTCTAAACCCCTTCAAACTGTAATGCACTGGATCCCTTGACGGCCAATGATTTATTACTTTGCATCAAATATGATCCTACCATAGTGTATATTATTTTCGTATTTCCCGAGGTTTATTCCAGTAAAATATATCTGGAAATATGCATTAATCACTGTTTTCCAAGTGTTTTTATGAGTCTCGTCAATTTTTCTAATTTTTTGGTTGGAAAAATATACTTCTTTTTTCTATTTTTCAATCGACAAAATTATTATTTAATTTCTATTAAGCCTATATGCTTGGTAATTTTTTCATTTTTAATATTGATTTATTAAAAAAGCTAAGTAAATTAATATTATTTGTATAAAGAGATTCACATTTTACTACAAGAAACCTTAAACTTCAATAAATGCGCTTCATATGTACAAATCAAAAGATAATTACTATATGACTTTAAAGTCAATAATTGGCAAATTATAAGATTATACAGAAGTGACCGAATTCTGTTGAAAGTCATGAAAAGTATCGTAATTAACGATACTTGTTGACCTCAAAAATAGAATGAATTCATTATTATTTGGTACCTATTTTGCGCATAATTAAAATTGCATGAATATTTACAAATTTTTTTACATATGTGTTAAGTATTTGAAGATAAAATTCAGTGAGGAAGTGAATACTGCAGACACAGATAAATCATTTTATTCTTTACATAATAAAAATGATAGTTGTGTTATTGATAGTCACAGGTAACTAACTAAAAAAAGATATTATCCTCTTTAACGGTGAAATTACTAAACTTAGAGTCGTTACCAAAATATATGCGGTTCTACTACATAAAAAAAACACCCCANAATAAGCATTATCCCCCAAACATGAAAAAAATCTAAGCATTCGTTTATAAGTTATAATGAAAATTCGAGAAAAAAAAAATATATTCAACACCCTGTATCTCGGAAGAGAAGCCTTCTACGACATATGTTTATAGGAACTTTTCTTTTTAAAAACATGCGTTCTATCTCCTGTTAAAGTTTGTCTACAAAAAACTGACTCACCCTGTATATTATTTCGGTAATTCCCGAGGTTTATTGCAGTAAAATATATCTGGAAATATGCATTAATCACTATTTTCCAAGTGTTTTTATTATGAGTCTTCAATTTTTCCATTTATTTCAATTTTTCTAATTTTTTGGCTCGCTTTTCAATCGATAAAATTATTCGATAATTTCTATTAAGCATGTTCTATATGCTTGGTTATTTTTTCGTTTTTAATATTAATTGATTTATTTAAAAAGCTAAATAAATTAATATTATTTATATAGAGTTTCGCATTTTATTGCAAGAAATCTTAAACTTCAATAAATGCGATTCTTTTATATAAATAATAATAATAGACTTATATTTGTCCAATTTTATCAAAAATTTCACTGCACATTTTGTTATAATCAGTTGACGTTATTTAGCTAAACTGGAAGATTGGAAGATTTGGCAGAAGTGACCGAATTTGGTAGGAAAACATGAAATATATCATTAATTACGATACTTTTCATAATTTTCTACCTAATTCGGCTACTTATGCAAAATCTTCACCACAAAAATAGAATGAATTCATTGTTATTTAGTACCTATTTTGCGCTTAATTAAAATTGCATGAATATCTACAGCATTCTTTACATATGTATTACGTATTTCAAGATAAAATTCAGCCAGAAGGTGAATACTGCAACACAGACAAACCACTTATTCTGTACATAATAAAAATGATAGTTGTGTTATTGATAGTCACAGGTAACTAACTAAAAAAAGATATTATCCTCTTTAACGGTGAAATTACTAAACTTAGACTCGTTACCAAAATATATGCGGTTCTACTACATAAAAAAAACACCCCAATCGATCGTAAACTACAATTAGACCATAAAAATGGCATAAACTCACCTCTTCCAAATTGGGCACCACATCGCTGACGATGTTGCAAATAGTATCGAGGTCCGAAGACAGCGTTAACATCCTGTAAACAAAATTTTATTAACCTTAAGGGGCACAGTATCCAGGGGCGCGCAGGGAGTTGTGAAGTCGTGGAGTTAAAGTTAAGGCCGATATATTGGGCGCAACTCCATTCGTAACGAGATGTTAACTTTAAAACAGCAATAAACAGGGTTCTGTAACTCTTTGGGGGTTAATGGAAAATGTCTGTCATAAAAAAACATCGGTGGACTTATTAATAATGGAAGTTAGTGATGGGTTGGTTGTTATTTAAATGCTTCAATGCTCCTGTGTATTTTACTTAAAAATAAAGTGAAATTTAAGTTTGAGACAAAAACAATAAAATTTAAGCAAAACGCAACACCTATAAAATAACTATAAAAAAATGGAGATATTAAAGTTTTAAAACATTTTGATGTACTCTGATACTATATACTGATTGAATCAGTGGTTCTCAAACATTTGTTTGTGTTCGTAAATATTCTAGATTATGAAACCCTGAAGATCATGTAATAAATGTATATCTCTAATATATTATTGTAAATGTTACGCAAAAGAATTGAAAAATCTATTCCCCGGATTGGACCGTACATGTAACATACATCCAAGTAAACACATCAATACCGTATTGCGGGGATTTGAACTAAGAATAATTGCGACTTTATATGGAACGAGAAAAGCCGGATTTCATATCTTCGTATAATGATATACGCGTTTTCGAGTATGACATCGTCGGGCACCGGTGCAATGTTAGCTGAAAAACAATTGATGGACGACATTTATAATAATTTAGGAAAGCTGAATCCACTGCTGTTTATCCCGCTAGATACCTTGGTTGTATTAAATCACAAACTCGCTTGGAACAAACGTCTGAAATTAAAGTACATATATATTAATTAGTGGCATTATTAAATTACCAACGCGAAGCGGTAAATTATAATTGTATGTAAATGGTGCCTTATCTTTAATAAGGAAAACTACAAAGTGCTGCGGATAATATTTGGTTTACGTGTGACGTGATGAGAGCAAATTAATTAATCAAGAATCACTTTTATTTAGAAACATTTTAATCTACCATAACTATATGGTTTCACAGAAATAGATACAAAATCTCGAATTACCAGGTCGGATGATATATTACGTATCTTAACAACTTTGTAGCAGCTGCAAACGAACACACATTAGACATGAACAATATTTGTGGACAGGTTTTTACGGCCGATTTAACAAATAAAATATGACTACGATTTTGATCATCACTAAGATACGACATTTGATTCTCTGTTGTTAAAAGATTCATTTAATTGTTTACACAGGATGTATCACAACTTATTCCGAGAAATTTTAAACAGATATGAACATTTAAATAAGAAGTGTATTTATTGAAAAATATACAGGGTGATTCACAACTTATCCAAAATAAATTGGGAATGAAAAATAACACAGCCACACAAAAAAAAAGTTGGGTATACTTTTTATGCGACATATATTTTTCGTAGTAATTTGGCCTCCTGAACACGAATCTGGGGTCAGAATTGGCCCATCACGTCACAATTTTTTCCTAACCTCAAAAAACTTGTGAAAAATAGTGAAAATTGATGAAAATTTACTGGGAAAATTTGGAAAAAAATTTATTTCCACATCAAATAGTACATTTTTATGTAAAAGACTCTGCTGAATTCAAATCCACTGTCAGAATTGAGCTAGAACGTGTGGTTTTTTTTCTAACCTCAAAAAACCGAGCAGGAATCGCTATTTTCAAATTCTGAGCGGATTTTGACCAGATTTTGTATAAAGGGGTTTTTTGGGTCGCTGATTACGAATATGAATTCACATTGTAAAAATTCAAGATGGCTGATCCAATATGGCGGGTGTACTTTTTTGAAATCCACCGATTTCAGTAAAATTTGGCATCATAAGGATTGCTGGTTGATCTCACCTTCATTAATCACACATCTGGAGCCAGATTTTCATAAATCAAGGTAAAATTTGTAGGCAGAGTCATAATTTTAGGCCGAGTAGGCGGCATTTTTTCGGCAAAGTCACATTTTTAGATTGAAGGCATAAGCAGATGCAGTGATGTGCTGTGTGGCAGTAATGTGTCCTTTTCCTTGAACTTTAAAATTATTAAGAAATAAAAGCATCTAAATGCCATAGGAAAACTGCATAGTAGTTAAAAAAATCTGATTGGAAAACCATAAGCCCATGCACGACTAAATAAATGAAAGAATAAAGTAGAAACTTTTTTGTCTTGTCCCATGGAAACAAGCACATCACACTACACATCATTACATGTGTAGAGTCCTTAAGTCATTTTTTTAAGCGAAGTCACATTTTTAGACGGAGTGGAATCTTTTACCTTGATTTATGAAAATCTGGCTCCAGATGTGTGATTAATGAAGGTGAGATCAACCAGCAATCCTTATGATGCCAAATTTTACTGAAATCGGTGGATTTCAAAAAAGTACACCCGCCATATTGGATCAGCCATCTTGAATTTTTACAATGTGAATTCATATTCGTAATCAGCGACCCAAAAAACCCCTTTATACAAAATCTGGTCAAAATCCGCTCAGAATTTGAAAATAGCGATTCCTGCTCGGTTTTTTGAGGTTAGAAAAAAAACCACACGTTCTAGCTCAATTCTGACAGTGGATTTGAATTCAGCAGAGTCTTTTACATAAAAATGTACTATTTGATGTGGACATAAATTTTTTTCCAAATTTTTCCAGTAAATTTTTATCAATTTTCACTATTTTTCACAAGTTTTTTGAGGTTAGGAAAAATTGTAACGTGATGGGCCAATTCTGACCACAGATTCGTGTTCAGGAGGCCAAATTACTACGAAAAATATATGTCGCATAAAAAGTATATCCAACTTTTTTTTTCTGTGTGGCTGTGAATCAATAAAAAAAAATTTGTACAATCCTTATAGTTTCCGAGAAAAAAATTAATGAACTTATATTTTCAACATTCAACAACGCTGGGCAAATGTAGTCTCTAGCGTTATTGGAAAATTCTATCCGCGTTGTCAGCTGTGCGCTCTCTATCTTCACGTAGCCCCAGGTGATTCCGAATACTGAAATCCGGTTTTAGTATTATTAACGTTTTTGCGATAGTGTTTACATTAGTTTTTCAAGTGTCAAAAATGGCTTACGCGTATAACAACAATCTTCATAATCTTGAGACTATCACGCGACAGTTCGAGATCACTTTTAGAATCGTTCCTTTTAGGAGTATCTATGTCGCGATTTTCTTATCATTCTCGAAGATGTTTGATTAGCGGTCCGATTACGAATGAGGTTTTTATACGATGGTGCGCCATTTTCGTGCAGTTAGGGATTTTTTGAATTACGTACAAGGGATACGCTTGATTGGTAGGAGTGGACCAATAGCTTGTCCTCCACGGTCCCTGGACCTAAATCGTCTAGATTTCTAAAATTTAAAGAACGCATCACAACAGCTGCTAATAATCTGCTTCTTCAACAAAAAGGTCTCACTCTGGAGTTAGTGCGACGAAATTGATTTGACGAGTCCATCGCACTTGGAAATCAATGGGCAAAACTATGAACACCTTCTGTAGAAAATAACAAATGATGGATCTACTAGATCGAGCAGAACTAATAATTTTTCAAATTTTCAATTATTATTAACTTTAATAATTTTTATTTTGTTTCTGTAGGTTTCGTTATATTCATTTAAGAAATCGACTTCTTGCTAATCTTGTTAACATTGTTCGGATAAGTTATGATATACCTTGTATTTATTCGGTTGGATACAGCAGTAGTTTCTCTTTTGTCTTTATCCTCAGAGAATGTACGATGTTTCTGAAGATAAAAACAAAAAGGATTTAGTAAAATCCAGTTTCTTTTTCCTTTGATAAGCCGACCGTCTACTGTCTTTTTTTAACTAAGTACACCATTAAGGATTGTTATATCTCGTACGAATACATTATTTTGCTGCAATAATTCACAATTTTAATTTAGAAAACTTTTCAGACACGTTGAGGAAACAGTTTTTATGGAAGTTTATTTATATTATAATAATGAGACTTCAGGAAGTTATCTTGTAATTATATGGAATTGGAAACATTGCTTGCATCAAATAACAACCAAATATGACTCTGAAAATGGGGCAAATGAGTTATATTAGTGTGTGAGAATCTTAGCAACCTGTAAAATGTAGAAAAACTATGTAAGTCCTCAACCTAAGGCGAAGCGTTTTGGGGTAGACACATTTTTACTATATTTCCCAGTATATCGCACACAGACTACAACGTTAATAACATACTGATTTCATGTTGACAGCTTCTTCTGATTGTTGATCCTTGAAATACGACTTCCAAAAATAAACCAAAACAAAAAAAAATAGTAAAAAAATGTCTAAACGCAAGTATTGTTTTTTGACGCTTGTTAGGGGGACCTTTGCTTAGAATGCCACCTAGCGGACAAACTGGCTTTGGCTGGTTGCACCGCTTACAAAAGTTCCTATTTTGAAAGGTGTGTACCTATAGAAAAGTAGTTATTATACAAACACAAAATCAAGTAAAGAGCCATAAAAACAGAATGAATTCTGGTGTCTGGACTATTTGACCAAAATGTTTTCTCTTTTAGGTTACGGTTTCCTGTGTGATTCAGAATGCGAATTAAAATGACTAATCGGTTGGAGTTTCCAAGTATCATTTATTATGTGACTTCAAAGTTTGCGTTCTACATTGGAAGCAAAATACAGCTGTAAAGACAGGATTAAATCCATCACAAAACCTAGACACTGAATTAAAATGACGATTATGAAACAGCTTAAAGCTTCTGCTTAGTTTCTCGTTCTAATTAAAATCCTAGTTTCTTATAATCTATCATTAGCTTCTTTCGTTCGTTTTAACTTTGTAGTAACTCTTGCCGACGAACTGCTTAAATCTTGAAAAGAGCGCGGAGTTTTTTTATTGGAAAATTTTAATATGATTTAGGGAGACGACGGCAATTTAGAAAATCTGCACAGAATTTTCGTTGACATTATCAAGAAAAACGAGAAAAGCTCGTTTCAGTTGGTTGAAGACATGACGAGAAAATAAGTTCATTAAAATTGGTAATTAATTTTTAAAATTACTATTTAAGTGTATTTTCATGTTTTCATTTTAAGTAGTAAAATTGTCTAGTGAAAATGGCAGCGGAAATATTATAACTAAGAAATTGTAAACTTTTCCAAATGAAACTGTGGACTATTACATATTTTGTTTGGTCTGGAAGTAAACTACGTTTTTATTAGCATAATAGGCCTTTAAATGTTCCTATTCGAACATTTTTTTTAAATATTTCAAAAATACTTAATGATAACTTCACAAAATTTGATACACCAATTCCTGTATTTAATAACACTTTCAAAATCAACTGTAAGATACAGAAGGTTCGATCATTTATTTAAATCGTAAAGCGTTTTCTTTTTATATTTCTGCACATTTCATCAAACACATTTCTGAAAATTTGTTTTGGGTTTCGAAATGCAAACATCATAAATACAAAGGGCGTATTTAAAAAATTGTATACACTTGAGAACCACGTGATATCTTAAATTACAATATTACTCGCAGTAGTCCACACTCAAACAGATATAATTTATTATTACATATGTATTCGGGTTGTAAAAATACAGATTCCCTTCTATTTTAATATTTTAAGCTAAAAAAAATATTATATTAGTCTTGATTGCTAGCAGCCAAGACGGAGAGCACCAAACTCCTAACTTCAGAGTGTTTTATCAATTTGTGAAGATATATATATATATGTTTTTGAAATACTNATTCGGGTTGTAAAAATACAGATTCCCTTCTATTTTAATATTTTAAGCTAAAAAAAATATTATATTAGTCTTGATTGCTAGCAGCCAAGACGGAGAGCACCAAACTCCTAACTTCAGAGTGTTTTATCAATTTGTGAAGATATATATATATATGTTTTTGAAATACTTAAAAATAATTTATCTTTCCCCAAAACATTTGAAGGTCTGTATTTCGAAAACATGGCATTTCCCGAACTTACGTTTATGGAAACTTTTTTTCTTATTTTTACTCGAAATTTCCTTCAAAGCTTGTTTACTTCACTGTATGACACTCCGTATGGGATAATTATATTTAAAGTAATACGAGAACTGTCACTATTTGCGATAAGGTGAATTAATGACAATGGGCACCATCCTAAAAGCTTCAGCATGTCTGGCTTCAGTTGTTTGTCATTCTATTGTCTAGGCTAATTTAATCTGTATGTTCTTCCAAGGTCCAAATAAATAAATTTTAACTGAATAAAAATAAAATACTTGAAAACATCAACCAACTCGCTAAAATAAATAAAATGTACATATGGATGCTTGGAATTGTAGGAAACTGTAAGAGGTACAAAAACGATAAACGCTCTTTAATAATGAAACTGAAAGTTTAAATTTGCGGGTATTACATAAACTAACATCTTACATCCATTAATTCCTCAATAGTGTAGTATTTGCAACGCCGTTTCGTTCGATTAAACCCAGTATTGTAGTTTTACAATTTAACCACTTTTGACTGTTTTTGGTATGAAAATTAAATATCCTATTTTCAAATTAATTAATAAGATCCACTTCTTATTTGTGGAAGGGCGAAATGGGCGGTGACTATTAGACGCCTTCACGATACCCATCCTTGTCTATCACATGGATTTCTATGGCTTACTTTATCGCTCTCACGTAACTCCTGATAGACCATCGGTACTTTCCTACACTGTATACAGGATGAACCAAATTTGATCATAGCTACAGAGATCTCAAGAGCTATCAAAGATACTGAAGAGCTTATACGCACAAAGAGTAGAATTTCTTCTTCCTCTTTGTTTGAATTTCATTCAAAGAACCATCTTCTTTTTAAAATTTAACTGTAACTTGGATTTAAAAAATAGTTAAACTCTTCTGTAGTAATGTTTTGCATTATTTTGATTGGCGTAGTTAGTGCCTCTTTTTAAGCAAAATTTTCGAAAAACATTTTTTTTTTTATGGATGCCATATTAAATTTTATTTAAAAATAAATACTTGTCACTGTAATATCAAACAAATTACACGATATTTAAAGAAAGGTTCAAGAATTTCTTCAATTGGACTGCAAATAATGGAGTTAGTTATTTTTTGTTAATAAAATTCAAACGAATAGAAATTAATTAAGTATTTCTGCACTACTTTGCCCATTTAAGCTTTTCTGTATATCAGATATACATAAAGGATTGCAAGCCACGTGACCAATAATTCTGTTTGGAGCAGTAATTTTATTTCCTTCACTTTGACATTTTGGTAAAATTATTAAAACAATAAGATCAGGACTACAAACACAACATTCTGTTTCACCGGTTGGTGATTGGTGTAATTTTTCACGAGATTTTATTCAACCAATCAGCGATCACATTATCTCGACAGTAGACGTAAGGGTTTGTCATTGGTCATTGTAAACGAATCATTACTATTGGCGACGCATAACGTCAAGATTTAGGGATTTTTAGTTGATAGACCAGTCATGCAATGTTGGCTGCCTAAATTCGGCGGTCACCTGGCTTTACATTTATGAAGGTTCTGGTTCTGTACGACACGAGTTACAGCGCAGTACATAAAGACCAATTAAAATAGAAATTGAATTAAAAATTTAAGAAATTCTCTGATAATTCTAGTTTCTCTGGATTGGTATATAGGTATCTACTCTGTTTACTGTTTATTTGTAAGTTTATTATTTGTTTCTCTACTGTTATTGAAAAATGAAAATAAGGCGTTTTTATAAAATTACAAGAAAACTAAAGAACATCCTACGACTTTTTTGTAATTTAACAAACATTTTACCTCGTCGTTTATAAAATTCCAAGGGATATCATCCATTTAAAAATATGTACTCTTAAATTTAAAAGATTAGTAATCTTAAATTTTCAGGGGAGCTAAATAGGTATATAAATAAAATGGAATGGGTAAGTTACATTAAGTCACAATTCTTTTGATGATATAAGTATAGTAATAGTTAATTTTTGCTCTTTTTTTGATAAAAGTTTTAGTAAAACGATTATTATATACAAGTTACAAAACAAAATTAGTTTGTTATGGGTGCTGGCTGACAGAAAACTTGATTTTGTGTGTTGCAATTTTTTGTAAACAGTCCAGTTATATGTGTACAAAAATTATAAAAAGGCTCTAAGGAGTAGCAGCAACAACACGGCAGTGCAACCAGGGCCGAGTGAGCACAACTAAAAAGATTTTTATTAAAATTTTTACCGTTCGGGGCCCGGGCAATCAGGGACAGTTATGGAGGCTTTGTACTGTAGTTGCAGATGTTTGGTTGTTGGCATGGCAACAAAATGGCGGGCATTGGTGGCAGGTGGCAGTTTCGGGTGGACACAGGGTGGCACGGCCGGGGGACAGAAGACATTAGTTAACATTTTGTGATAGTGGTGGCGAGTGCTTAGTTAAAATGGCCGAAACGTAGTGGTTTTGCATGAAACGACGGAACGGCGTTTGTCAAACAAATAAAACAGGTTTCCCCAAAAATTCAAAAAATAATGACGTAGGTATCGAAGTAAATATCTACACAGTAAAAAATGAGATATGGTAAAAACACATTCTATGTGTACATTCAGTTGCTCGAACAGATGAATTTATTTTAAAATCAGGATGTTTTGACAGTTGACAGAATTTAGAAGCAATAAAAGCAAGATGCAAAACAGCCATTAATGTTGAGGTTATTAGTATTATTATTGTTAGATTTAGAAAATAATTTTGTACTCGTAATCTATACAGAGTGATTCACTTTTTATGATTAGATTATAATGTTCTTTTGAAGCATACACTTTTTCTTCCAAAGGCTTCATTTTAGAGATATAAGATCGTGAAAAAATATATATATTTTTGGTTTTTACATATTTTTTTTAAACTATGAAAGCCATCTGTTTATATTAGTATGAAGTGTACGAATGAAACGCTTTATCGATTTTACAAATTATTGTGAAAATAAATCAATCATAGGCATCCGTAAGGGACTCTGATAACCCCTATTTTGAATATAATTTCTACGCCAGTGGAAATTTTTCAAAATGAATATATATTTTATTTTAAATTGTGGTTTATTCTACAGCAAGGTCTCTATTTTTAAATTAAATGTTTGGTTTTTGAGAAAAATGGCTTCTAATGTTACTAATTTTAAGTTCAATATTACTAATATGAAAATAAGTAAATAAATTAAAGTTAACGATCAAAGTAAAATCCTAAATCTAGTAGCGAATTTGTTCGCTAATTATTAGATATTATTAATATTATAAGGTAAAATGTTAATTTACGACTGAATGAAATGATTTTGCACTTTGAAATATTTAAAAACAGTAACGTGAGCCACTGTACACCACGGGATCAGTAATACTACTATATACACATGTAGTTATTGCTTTGTGTAGTGTTCTAGGATAGTGTTAAGAGTTTAAAACTGGTCCTTACTGATCGTAAGCATTGGCTTGTGTCGAAATCTCTATAATATTCCGAGCTTGACAGTTCGGTGCTTAAATAAAGCGTGGAATTAAGGGAGGCTTCGGGTTTACATCATGGGACATGATCATTATGTCTGAACATATTTAAAAACATTTCGTTCGAACTATGTCTGTCAATTTAATTAATGTATTAAATCTTGATTTACGCTGTGAAGGAGTAGTAATAAATCATTGTGCTTGTGACACGATTTTGTTGGCCAGGGTTCATCATAAGAGACATATTCAAAGTCAAATGCATAAAAGAGCGAAATGAAATGAAAAATCTAATGTCTGATAAAGTGAAATATGTTCCCTAACAAACGTACGTGCATGACTGAGATCACTGCAGAAGCCATTTTAATAATATAGATATGCTGGTAATTTAAATCATGAATAAAGGTTAAATCTGTTTAATTTTCAACCACATTCAGGTAAAATGTTTTTTCGGTGATGGGTGTGGACAAATATGAACCACACTGACTGTTATCTCAGCAATTAAGTAATTAAAAACTCATTTTGTTCTGTGTAGTAGGGCACTCCTGCAATATAATGTACCAAATGTTAAATGGTTCCAAAAAAATATTGCTTAAATACCACGAGCAATAATTTAGAATACATTTTTTAAAGCTATAAACATAGTTCATTTTATTTTCAAGGGGTCAACCAGTGACAATAAATTTGAAAATTTCACCTATCCTTCCAATAAAATCTATTGTTGGGGTTTTGGTAATTTGCAATATAAATCATTTTATCCAAAACCACCGTATTCGCCATTTTGGGAAGCACTAACGTTTCAGCTGTAAGATCAAAAGTAAATGTTGGGCATCAGGGACGCGAGTGTTTGTTAACCAAACAAATCACTCGCGGGAAATTTTTAATACCTAATAGGGACATTTCTGTTATATACATGGAGAGAAACAACAAAACTAGAACATAAAATGTATTAAAAATTAAAATAATTTAATATTAAAAGTGCATTGCAGAGGTGCAAAAAGTAAAAAAAAAAATAAAAAATCTAACAAATCATTAAATAATTAAGACAAACGGTGTCAATAAATAAATATACAAATCTTTGTTACCATTTTCCAATAAAAGGCGAGAAAATTAAATAGCCGACTTTTATTTGTTCTTTACAAAAAAAAAACAAAGACATTTATTCATTACTTTAAATTCAGACTAAAGCATAAACATTTTATTTTTATTACAACTTATTTCCTTACGAGTAATAACATACGACTTATTTTACTTAAGGACTAGCCATCGCTATGTTTGTTGCTTACCCAGCGCAGAATTTAGAGCAGAAATTCAAGGCGGTTGAAACACAAATATACCAATTTTTGTAGTACCAGAATACATATTTCTCATAATTATAATAATAATAATAATAATCAATCATAGTTTTCAAGATCAAACACTGTCTCTAAATATTTTTGGCACTATTATATTTGTATGAAGCTTCCGAAGACTATTTTTTTATTGGTTAATACATTTGAAAGTTATGGCGGTTTAGTTCTTAAATAGAATAAAACATAATTGTGTAAAAATATATAAATTTTTACGAAATAGGGAATTTAAAAATACAAAGTTTAACTGTTTTTCTCTTCCCAGATTTTAATTCCATAAGACTATTTACAAATGTTTACATTTTGTCCTATTCAGATATTTTAATTACAAAACAATTGCAATAAAATACACTTATGCACTTTGTATGTCAGTAAAGTGTTTAGCAAGGACACCTTCTATATTTGTTGAATGAATTATGGAAGAAATAATTTAAAAATATTTATTTTCCTTTCTGAATCATAAATGCACAAGGTGTACTATGAACTTACTTGAAATATTATAACTGTATATTTAATTTATCGACATAATGAAAACAAACATAATAAATTAAGTTTAAAAATAATATCAACAGTTTAATTTAAAACTGAACTCTGCAATGCAAAGAAAACCATATACCTAAATTAAAAAAATGAAAAAATAAAATTAAAAGCTAAAACAAGTAACATTTAACAGTACAGTAAACTTAATCAACCGTAAGGGACTCAAAACCACCCCCTAATGTATCTGACAGATATGTATGTTAAGTGATGGAAGATAAGCTGCCATTTTCTTTTGAGAGAACCAGGGGTGAACCGCTTTCCTTCTAGACAGTGGTATAATTAAGAGCTGGGCAGAATATTATAATTTACAGCCACCTTTTCGCTGTTACGGGTTCCATTACGTGTTGTGTTAGGGGGTTGAGTAAGATAATAACTACTTAAATTAGCTGTGCTGTCAATGTTATAATGTTACGGGGGACTTTCTTAAAAGCGACATACCTGTCCAACGCATAAAAGGTATAATTTTATTTTTCTTGGAACTGTGGAAACATGAACGTGTATGGAAAGCTTTATTTTAAAGGTTAATACACGTTTGGAATATCAAAATTTTTGCAATAATCTTTAAAATTGTTTGCAAGTGCCATTTCTTAAATAGATGATGTAAACTACAAAAAATATATATAAATAAATAAAAAATGGAAAGGCGACAGAACCTAACATTGTTTAGTGAAATTTGACAACAATTTTCCAAAAAGAATCATTTTATTAAAAGAGTTTTAACATTTGAGGGCAGAATGACGCGACAGTTTAGTCTGTTGCGTCTTTATTTAAAAAGGGGACACAATTTGCAAACTGTGTATGTTAAATAAAAAAAAATAATGACAGTTACGTCGCTGTCCAAGGAAAATAACAACTCAATTTATACGCTGGACGTCACCAGAAAATAAAACGTTTTCCACAATCTAGTGATAAATGAAAAACGTCTTGTTAAAATATAAAATATGTGTATTATGTTGTATGGTACTGACCTGACTTCTTAACTTCGTTATATTTTGGCCTCCCTTACCGATAATAGAACCGGCCACCTGAAAACAAACCAAGATTTAATAGTCATAAAGTTGAAAAAATATCTTCACATTCAAAATACAGTATGTTACAGAAGGTGGCGCTTTTCCTTTAACTGATGTTTGCAAGTATAAACAAAGTCAGTTGTGCTTGAGTACTAAGTTTAGTGTTACTCTATCAGTAAATAGACGTAGGATGCGTTAGAACCTACCTAAAGATTAAGTAAGTTAGTGATAGTTATTACAAAATGACGCACATGTACAACAATAATGAATTTAATACGTTGTAAATTTACAGTGAATATCAGCAAAACGCTTCAGGAGCATCACGTTCTGATGGAGTTTCATAAAGCCCGAGAAAATTTTTTATCTCAATGAACTACAAATACTGGACGATTACAAAAATATCGCGGAAGACACACTTAACGAGTAAACGATTTTGTATGTTATAAGCAGAGGAAATGTTGAAAATTATTGTTGTTCTCCAGTTAAATGTTTCTCCTCACAAATAATGGAAAACTGTTTAGGTTCTGCAACCTCTAAATCTACTGTGACAGCTTGATTTTGTCAATGGTTATTGTAACAAAACAATGACAAACATTTTATGACACGTGATTTAGTAGCTAATAACAAATTTTCAAGAAAACAATTTACATTATTTTCAGATAATCTCAACGTAAGAGTCAATAATACAAATTTCANACTCCACATGTAAATATTCTTATAACATTTACTTGCTTAGTCCTACATATAAAATTGTTTACTTTTATTTATAAGTACGTGAAAATCATTCTTAAAATGTGGGGTTAGGATAACAGAAAACGCATGTTTTACAAACGATTTTTTTTAGTTATTATTTTATATGGGTAAATTTAAATGGTAACAATGAATAAACAAAACATCAAGGATTTTATTTTTGTGCTTACTTTTATTCTACACGTTTTACATTTCAAGATTTCAGTACCTAAAAATCCCAGAAATTTCACCATTTCTCGGTGAGGGATATGACCACCTTACTGACGTTTGTACGTATAAAGTCAGTTGTGCTTGAGTACTAAGTTTAGTGTTACTCTATTAGTAAATAGACGTAGGATGCGTTAGAACGTACCTAAAGATTAAGTAAGTCGGTAATAGTTATTTTAAAATGATACACATGTATAACAATAATGAATTTAATACGCTGTACATTTACAGTATATATCAGCAAAAGGCTTCAGGAGCATCACGTTCTGATGGGGTTTCATAAAGCCCGAGAAAATTTGTTTATCTCAATGACCTCGAAATACTGGACAATTACAAAAATATCACGGAAGACACACTTAACAAAGTAAACTATTTTGTTTGTTATAAGCAGAGAAAATGTTGAATTGTTATTGCCCTCCAGTTAAATGTTTCTCCTCACAAATAATGGAAAATTGTTTAGGTTTTGCACCTCTAAATCTACTGTGACAGCTTGATTTTGTCAATGGTTATTGTAACAAAACAATGACAAACATTTTATGACACGTGATTTAGTAGCTAATAACAAATTTTCAAGAAAACAATTTACATTATTTTCAGATAATCTCAACGTAAGAGTCAATAATACAAATTTCAAATATTTTTAATGCACCATCCTATACATATATTTTTATACTAAATAAAACATTTTTCTATTTATATTATTATTCTTATAATAATACAGGGTGTTTGGAAAAGTTGGTACAAAATTTTAGGAGGTGAAAGTAGAGCCAAAAGCAGTCAAAAAAGTTCCTATAAACATTGGTCCTCCGGAGCACCGTTATTGAGATATGGCCCTCCAAAGGGGTCTTATAATTTTTTAAAATAACTTTCTTTCTGATTAAGAATTGTAGGTAATAATCATACCATAAGGGTCCTCAACTATCATAAGTTTCATCAAAATCGGTTATAAATAAGGATAGTTTTCTAAGTATCCTTAACAGAAAAATTTTAATTTTTTTTATTCCTTTTGAATTATCAAGCAAATGTTTTTTAATGAATTAGACTTTTTTGAAGAAAAGTTTTTTTTTTCGAATTCTGCGTGGTTTAGTCAGAAATAATTATTTTTTAAATAATGTACGGCTCAGAACAGTAACTTTTTAAAAATATTTTGACATAGTAGGTATCTTTCATGGTGACAGTTTCGTTGTAATGATACTAAATGATTGCCATTTTCGCGTGCTATCTTTTAAATTCTTACGTTTCTTTATCTTCTTAGTTGTGATCTTTATGCTTGACTTTGCATTTCATTCGATTTTTTTACAACTATGAACCATCATGAGCAGACGCTCTTCTAACACTCGCAGTAGGATTACGCTAAAAAAATCCTAAAATTACTTCATCTAAATCATGCTTCCGCCTCCTTGGACGGCCAAATTCACGATCTCTTGGAGTTGGGGCTCCTGATTCCATCGTTCTTGCATGAATTTTCCCAAATAATCTCTGTCAGGGAAACGTTGCCGTTACTCTTTTTGAACCGCCAGACTATTTCCATTACAGAAACAATAAATAAAATGCATATCGGCATATTCACAGTTAGTAAAAGCATGATGGTTCATGGTTGTAAGTCAAGCACAAAGATCACAACTAAGAAACGTAATAATTTAAATGATAGCACGCGAAAGTGACAATCATTAGTATCATTGCAACGACTGTCACCATGAAAGATGCCTACTATGTGAAAATGTTAAAAAAAGTTACTATTCTGAGCCATACATTATTTAAAAAATAATTATTTCTAACTAAACTACGCAGAATTCGAAAATAAAAGTAGTGACATTTTTTCTTCAAAAAGTCTAATTCATTAAAAAATAATATTATTTGCTTGATAATTGTAAGGAATAAAAAAAATTCGAAAAATTTCTGTTAAGGGTCCTTAGAAAACTATCCTTATTTATAACCGATTTTGATGAAACTTATGATAGTTAAAGAACCTTTATGATTATTACGTACAATATTCATTCCATTATTTTAATCAGAAAGAAAGTTATTTTAAAAAATATCCAAATGATAAGACTCCTTTGGAGGGCCATATCTCGGTAATGGTGCTTCGAAGGACCAATGTTTATAGGAACATTTTTTACTACTTTTGGCTCTACTTTCGTCTCCTTAAATTTTGTACCAACTTTTCCAAACATCCTGTATATCCAGAACACTACAACAATGAGTGTGTTTGCAATATTTGCGGACAAATTTTATTGTATCCATTGAGATTTTTTATAGACGCGTACTGTACGCCACTAAACTACTGTCATTAAAAAGAGCGCAGTTAAATATAAAACCGATCGTAACCCATAAATTGCGAATTTTATGTAAGTATTATCAATGAATGTATTTTAATGCCTGTAGCAATTGAATCACAACATTCAATAACAAAGAATGTATGTTAATGCTTTTAGTAGTAAAATCATCAAAATAACCAATAATGAGATTTTAAAGCACTTAGAACATTTGTATGTTCTTACAATTAGTGGCATTAAATTTTAAAACAGAGCTCTTACGGATAAAGAAGCTATTTTATAGACAGAAACGATGACTATTAGCATGTCTTCAGTTAATATGTACGAATTACTTGAATATATTGCAACAAAATGATAACAGGTAGGTAAAAAGAAATATGTATTTAATTTAACTAATAGGTTGTTCGTAGCCCATTAACGTATACATACATTTTACACGAATTGTTCTAAAATTTACTGCTTTAAAAATGTCATATGGATTCTAGATAAACGTTTTATGTGCTGTACCATGTTAACATCAAATAGGTAATAAAGACAGATTTTGTGTACAAAATAATGACCTATTTTTAGTATATCTGTAAGTCATATACGAGGTCTGCTCAGAAAATAACCGAACTTTTTTAATTACGCGCTAATGGAGATTTAGTGATATGCAGTATTCTGCATTGTGTTGTGCATAACCTCCTCTATAACCACATGTTCTTGGATTGTTGATGTCTCATTTAGTTTTCATGATTTTGTTATTTGAGTGAAACCTGTTTAAGTGTAAGTAACGATTTTTGACGTCAGTCTCGATCTAATGACAAAGTGATGAACACTATTTTATTCGACTTTAATGGGATTGTGCATTTTGAATACTTGTCTCAAGGTGAAACAATGAACCGTGTGTACTACCAAAACGTTTTACAATGATTACGTGAAAAGAAGACGTTGTGGCGAGTTTTGGCACCTTGACAATGCGCCTGCACACTCCTCTTTGTCAATTCGTCGGTTTTGTGCCAAAAATCAGATTACTGTCCTCCCTTACCCTCCTTACTCGCCAGACCTGGCTCCTTGCGATATTTTCTTATTTCGAAAATAAAATCACTGCTGAAAGCGCCGTTTTGAGACTATGATGACATCAAAACAAATTCGTTAGACTTTAGAGGCCATTCAAATGAAGCTATCCAGGACTGCTTCGGGAAATGGATACACCGCTGGGAAAAGTATGTGTGTGGTGAGTACTTTGAAGGAGACAAGGACCAATAATGTACAAAATGAATAACAGTTTAAATAAATAAAGTTCGGTTATTTTCTGGACAGACCTCGTATTGTTTTTAAGATACATTAGTAATAATGTTAAATCTTTTAGGATNAAAATGTCATATAGATTCTAGATAAACGTTTTGTGTGCTGTACCATATCCAATAGGTACTAAAGGCAGATTTTGTGTACAAAATAACGACCTATTTTTAGTATATCTGTAAGTCATATACCAGGTCTGCTCAGAAAATAACCGAACTTTTTAATTAGCCGCTCATGGAGATTTAGTGATGTGTTGTGCACAACCTCCTCTGTAACCACATGTTCTTGGATTGTTGATATCTCATTTAGTTTTCGTGATATTGTTATTTGAGTGAAACCTGTTTAAGTGTTAGACGATTTTTGAAATGTAAAACGTAAAAATTTGCGTAAATCTGGGGAAAACTTTCGCGGAAACGTTTCAACTTTTGAAACAGGCTGGCGGAGATGATGTTCTGGGTTCTACGCAATACGCAATGTTACGAATGGTTTTCACGAGTG